GGAAGAAAAGACCAAAATGGATGTCAGAAGAAACTCTGAAGATTGCACTGGAGCGTAGAGATTTTAACATTAGGCTTCTGAAATTTCATTTTTAAATTTACTTGTTGCTTTTGTTATGTGCCATGAATTGCCTGCCACTCCTAGCGACTATGTACAACTGCTCCAAAGGCTCCCCTGTCATGAGCCAGTCTCACTGACTCTCATGGACCTAACCCCACTGCCCTAGTTATTGTGTCAGTCCATCTAATCCAGCATCTTCCTCTCCTACACTGTCCTGTTGGTGTTAATTCTCCTAGAACAATCAGACTGTAGGAGGAAACTGCTGGAGGAGCTTCATATATTTTTTGCAGGGATTTTTTACAAATAAAGTCATAGCTGACTTGACGACACATGACAATAAGCTCAACTCAAAGAACTCTCAGGGATCACCTACCCACAAGAACTATCTCTGATGCATATCGAGAATACATAAGCCCAGGCTGGCCTGCAAGCTGCTTACAAGTTAGGTTGCTGGGAGACTATTGATGTACTAACTGGAAATGAGCCTGCTGTGCTGGGAGGCAGGTCATAACTTAAATACTTGATGATCTCCTCTAAATTTGAAAGCACCAGTGTGACTTTATGACTAAATACTGAATTTTGCATAAAGACCAACTACCAGTTGAGCTTCCATTTTGCTCATAAATTTAGCATGTGCTTTGAGGAAAAGTTGATTCTTGAGCTGAGCAAGCTGTAATTGTTAACAACATTTAATCTCCATCTATCATGGTGCAGACAACTGGCTCACAGTGGTAACAGTCCTTTTCTTGATGTTGAGCTTCAACCCATATTGAAGACTACAGTCCTTGACTTTCTGCAACAAGTGTTTCAGGTCCTCCTCAGTTTCAGCAAGAAAAGTTGTGTTATCTGCATAATGTAGGCTTGGCCCCACATTATATTAGGAAAATCTACTGTCAGGGACCTTTCCAGAGTACTGAAAAGCAATGATGTGAGTGTAGAGACTAAGGTGCAACTGATCCAGGCCATGGTCTTGGAAATTACTTGCTATGCATCACATAGCTGGACAATGACTAAGAACAAAAGAATTATTGATGCCTTCAAGGTGTGGTGCTGGAGAAGAGTCTTAAACATACCATAGACCACCAAGAAAATAAATAGGTCTGTCTTGGAGAGTTTCTCCTTGGAGGCTAGGATTTTGAAACTTCATCTCACACATTTTGGGCACATGACCAGGATATACTGGTCCCTGGAGAGGGACATCATGCTTGGAAGGGTGGAGGGACAGCACAGGTGAGGAAGGCCTCAGATGAGATGGACTGATACAGTAACTGGGGTAACAGAGGTAGGTGTGTTGAAATCAGTGAAGATTGGCTCAGAACCAGGGAAGGCTTCAGAGCTGTTGTACATAGGGTTACTTTGAGTCACAGGTGACTCGATGGCATAACAACAACAACATGAGGAAAGTCAGGAGTTCTGGTGGAACAGTGAGGTAATTGTTGTTGTGTGCCATTGAGTCAGAACCCACCCACAGCTGACCCTCAGGCAGGTTTTCAGTGGCAGTTAATCATGTGGGAGCAGACTGCCCACTTATCCCCCCCAGAGTAGCTTGTGGCCTCGAACAGTAAGCCTCTGGGATTGCAGCGCAGATTCTTATCACTAGGCCACCAGAGCTCCCTAAGCTAATCAAAAGACGAGCAGTTTGAACACACCCACCACTCTGTGAGACTAAGATGAGGCCATCTTCTCCAGCAAAGATTCATAACATCGGAAACTCGACTGGACAGTTCTACACTATCTTATGCAGTCACTCTAAGTGAGCTGAGTAAGGAAGGAAGGATAACTAGGATGGCTCCATCATTTAGTAAATAAAAATCTAAGAGTAAGAAAAGAAGGGATGAACTAGGAGTCCAGAGAAAGAGATCAAATGTCACCAAGAGTAGTTCTAGAGAAAAGAACCAGAGCTGAGTGTTTTAGGGGGCATGATTAGAGAGAAAGGGACAACACCCCAGCAGGAGGATCCTAGAGAACAAGGACATGGGGAGAACCATACACAGAGTGTGTTCAAAGTCAGTAGACAAATCTGTTAAAAAATTAGACACACTGTCAAGAGGAACCATTCCTTGGAAAAAGGCAGCATGCTAGGAAAGGTGGAGGGCTAGAGAAAGACCCCCAACAAGACAAACTGACACAGTGATTAACACTAAGCTTGAGCATATCAGGGATGGTGAGACTGGTTCAAGACAGGGCGAGGTTCCGATCTGTTGCTTGAAGAGTTGCGATGAGTTGTGGTTGACTCCATGGCATCTAACAAAAACCACCTCTGTGTAAACATTTACCAAGCCTGCCCTGTTTATAGGGAGCCATGGTGGCCAAGTGTTAAGGAGCTGCACTGCCAATCTAACGGCACAAAGTTCATATCCACCAGATTCTCAGGAGAAAGATGAGCAGTCTCTCTTGGGTGATTTACTGCCTCTGAAAACCTGCTGAAGGTTCAGTTATGAGTCAGTTCTAACTGGATGGTCCTACGTATGAGATCCATTCGTACTATTATCATCTTAATTAATCACTGATATCAGCAGACTCAAAGAGTAAAATTAGAACACTCTGCAAAAAGCCAAGTCTAGAGCAAAGAGCATGTGATCAATAGGGCTGTGGCTATGGAGTCTGCAGAGTCATCACTTCCTTTCCCTGAAGTAGCAAAATTACTGTGCTTGGGAGACAAAGCACCACCCCCTGTCCCCCCCTACCCACCTGTGCCCCTTCCCGGGCTCCTTTCTCAGGGGGTTGGGGGGTTGGGAAGAAAAACCACCACCAAAGACAAAAAAGCACCAAGTGGAAACACCTGACTTCCCCAGAATGTACAGCATCTGGTCCTTCTTGTTGGTGCACAAAGTATTCCCATGTTAACAGCAAAGATAAAGAGGCCCTTGGTTGATATCAACTTACCTTCCGTTTGCTTCCAGCTAAATCCTGCCTTAATTGGCGTGACTGTTTTAATTAAAGTAAGTGATTTAAAATAGAGCGCCAACAAGCTCCAACAGTAAAGTAAGCACAACTATGTGTTTGCCTTATTTGCTTGGCTATTAAATATTCAGCGATATATATATGGGCTTTAAGCGATCATTTTCTCTCTGTATGGATATGAGTGTAATGATTAAGCCATTCCCATATGGGAAATGCTGTTCTCTCGAGCAAGTCAGCCTCCAGACTCTTTCAAAAGAGCATTAAGTTGCGTCCTTCATGGATTTAGATGGGAAAGATAGTGTTTCTATTTAATCATCTACTCACCACAAAGGAAACCACACTAACTCCAGCAGCAATGGCACACATTAAATTACCTCTGAAGCTCCTAGAAGATTAAGGCTTCTAGGTTTGGGATTGCATTACAATTAAGTAATAATGAAAGTGAAATCATGTCTTTTGATCAAATAATGCACTAATCCTACCGTACATGGTATGCTCTAATCCTACCTTACATGGTATATCAGTATAGAGATGCTCAGTCTCAGGTAATGCTGACTTTAGGTACTTTTTAAAAAAATTTCTCCTTCTGCAGGACAGGAAATAGGTACAGAGAAAAGGAGAAGAGTATGCATTAAAGACGACAGTGGAAGTAAAACAGTCCTGAAATGCTCTCTGCTAAAAATTTGTATTTTCCACATCATAAAGAAAATCCCAAGTGTTCTTACTGAGAGGCTGTAGTCATTTCTCAAGCTTTGTCATATGTTTTCTGCAGCAAGGCTGCAGCCTGTGGGAACCCCAAATTCATGGCATCAACTATTTTTGAGCTGGTGTTGGAGCAGAACACTGAACATCCCATGGACAGCCAAGAGAATGAACAGATATGTCTTGGAGAGGGTGCAGCCGAAGTGCTCTTTGGAGGCAGGAATGAATGATGAGGCTTCACCCCACATACTTGGTACATGTTGCTAAGTTGTGCCATTTATTGGAGAAGGACATGATGCTGGGAAAGGTAAGGGGTCGGTGAAGGAGAGGAAGACTCTCAACCAGGTGGACTGACATGTTGTGACTGCTGCAATGGACACCTGTGTGTCAGGAAGTCTGAGGATGGTGCAGGATAGAGCAGGGTTCAGATCATTTGTTCACAGGGTCACTATGAGTAGTAGTACTCAACTCAACAGCACCTACATCTGCTGAGTGCAAATGGTTACTGCCTTGGTTAACAACCAATAACTTGGAAGTTACTCTGCACCAGAAGTACTTCAGAAGAAAGGCCTGGCGATCTACTTCTAAACCACCAGTCACTAAAAACTCTCTAGAACATTGTTTAGTCCTGACACACATGGGTTGTAGAGACTTGGATTCCACTCCATAGGAACTGGTTCCACTCCCGTGAGCAGGCCTGGCTTGCAGTTTACAAATCCCCTTCAGGACTTAAGAGCAGAGTTCATTCAGCAATTAGTAGTATATTGAGAATCTCTGGGGAAGTATTTGAGAACAAGTTTTTCAAACACTTTAGCAGCATTTATATAAACCTAGCCTGCCATTAATCATTCTTATCTGTTCATTAAAGCAAGCTCCCTTAGGACCGCCTCTTGCCAGTTCTTTTTCAGCGGGGTTCTTTTATCCATATACCTGAAAAGTAGTCCATTGCTTTTAAAACATATTTTATAATTAAAATACTTCATTAATTCACTTGGGTGTACTCCACCAATTAGTCTGCATTTTCAGAGTTTTATTAAATATACAGAAAGATCATTCTCTTGAGGGTCTTTGTGGAAGACAAGCCATGTAACTAACGCTTGGCTTTGGAATACGTTTTCAGCATTTGAGAAACTTTGGAGCCATTACATTAAGATATAAATTTCCTGTTGATATCAACACATGTTCTTTCTTACCAGCCCTCATGAAAAGGGGTATAATCCCAATTTACGCTTCAATCTAACTGGTTTGAACTAAAAGTAGAAGGGAAATAAGATAGCTGAAACAATGAAAAGCCATCATTATGAAATATCAAGTAAGTCACTGTTTGACTATACCTCAGCCTGTGACTCCTCCACACCCACATTTCGGTCTCTGCTGACTCCTGGGTCCATCCATCCCAGCACAACTGGGAATGAGGCCCAAAGCAGTGTGAGATGCAGCCAAATGCCTCCTGGTTGCATTCTGTTAAATCTGTTGAGAAAATAACAGATGTTTAGAACAAAGCATATCAGCAAGTAATGGGGCACTGAGTTCATGCCTGCACTCCGTAGTCAGGTCAATTTTAGATGAAATCCTGACACCACCCCTTCTGTTGTATTTTGGAGTTGTTACATTACCTCAGTTTACTTAACTCTAAATTGGCAGCAATGATACATACCCTGATAGAGGTGGAGCTGGCAGGGGTAGACACATGTAAAACTGTTGGTATGCTAACTTTTCTACAGAAACCCACTTAAAATTCTAAGTACATTATACCTACAGGGAACTCTGGTGGCCTAATGATAAGGAGTTTTGCTATCAGTCCAAAGACAGGTGGTACAAATTCACCAGATGCTCTTAGGAAGAAAGATGACAATCTCCTCCTGTGTGATTTATAGCCTCTGAAAACCTCTAGAGTGTTCATTATGAGTTGATTCCAACTTGACAGCGTATAACAATACCAACTATACCTAGAGTGAAAATTCAAGGTAAGACAACTGATTCACCTCTGAGTTTACCACAAATTCTGAGTTTGCCTCAGTCCTAAAAAAGCATTTATGATCAGACACACAATTTCTGCTGTTGTTGTTGTTAGTTGTCACCAAATAAATTGGCACCCAGCAATTCTGTGTGCAGAGGCGAAATGCTCCAAACAGCTTTCAAGGTTGTATCATTTCAGAAGCAGGGTGTCAGGCTTCTTCCAAGGTGCTTCTGTGTGTGTTTGAACCACCAACATTTTGGCTCAACTGGTTAACCATCTGCACCTTGCAGAGACTCCAGGCACACAATTAGTTCTCGATAAATATTAATGATGAATTATGTTACATCTGCAATACCCTATTTGTAGCTAATGCCTCAGTTTACAAGCTAGTGAACTTCAAAATGCTATTATCAGGCCCAATCTTTTCATTTCATGACCAATTTACTCTTGGAGCAGAATCCAAGCATCCAAAGGAAAGCAGAATTTCAAAAGTATTCCCTAATTTTTTCCCATCCTCTTGTTACACAGTCTCCATGTTATGCCTAACAGAACAAGTAACCTAAAGTCATCCACAAAAGACTCCAACACCAGCTTCCTAAGGCTCAGCTGGCAGCATGAGAGTCTCAAGTCCTAGATAAGAAATGGACCATTCAAAGTGACCAAATAGTTACAAATATGAGAAAAGCCAAGAGTCAGTTACAATGAGCATCCAAGTGCCTGTCATCTGCCAGGCCTCGTGCAAGGGGAGTGAGGACACACACTGCCTCACACCCAAATCACTGTCCCTTTTTGAGTGGGGAGACTGTTTGCATTTATTCTATGAAATGTAGCCACACAGGACTCATCATATGGTACTTAGAACTCTTAGTTAAGGCAATATTAGAGGGTATTGACTTTTGTGTGCATACACAATTTGGTGGTTAATTACACGTGGGCCACATTATATTCTGATCATGGCTGGGGAGAAACAAAACCCACAAAGTTCCAGAACTCCTTGTGGCTAGTACCCTTGTATAACCGAGTGTAGAACTAGTGCAGAGCACATGTTCAAGTTAAAAATGAAGCAATGTTTAAGGTACTCTATAGCCTGTTTATGAATCCGTCCTTATGCACCCCAGGAATCAAAAGCTTTGGGGATATCACTATTCTCGGCAAGGGAGGGTGCACATCATCATCCAGTGCTGAGACCAAGGCTAGCAAGCAAATACACTCCTGCGGCATTTCAGGTTTCCCTTGGCTGTCTTCCATACCCAAATAGAGCTGCCTCTCCAGATTTGCTTTATGTCTCCAGCTTGAGACAGAAATTCCCACAGGGAGGAGAAGTCAAACTAAAAATTGTGGACATATAACACTAGCCTACAAGAAAAAAAGGCAAGGTTACAAGGGATGACTATGTTTCAGGAGATGGTGTCTCCGTATTTTAAAAGGAGTCCATAGGCTCACACTCCTACATCTGTTTATTGGACCATTCATCTTTGACATCTGCCTGCAAAGCTAGAGCTACTGGCAAAAAAGCCCAGGTAGCCAGCCGGTAACTACAATCTGAAGGTCACAGTCTCAGCACCACTAGCACCTGCTCCTTGCCCTGAAGATAGTAGAGTGGAGAGGTGACACTTTGGCTGTTCCCCAGGAGAGGACTGCAGCATCAGCAGCAGCCAGCCCTCTCAACTCCTAGTCCAGCGGTCTAGCTAGTGTGGCATGTGTTTCTTACAGGAATGAGGAGGAAAGTAATCACACACAAGGATTAAAAGAGACTAAAACTGTCTTTCCCTAACTGCAATTGAGTTTTCTATAAAGAAACAGGACAGCTCCCTACTCTCCTTAAATTATCCTCTGAAGCCACTGCAGACTGTAGCTACTGGGTTTTTGAGTTTTTAAAAACCAACAGTTTAAACTCAAGCTGGAACTAGAAAGACAGTGCTTCCTACCCCAACTTCCAGCCCATCTTCTCTGCTTAGCTCCCGTCAAACATTGCTCATAGAACGGTCACATATTAAAGGTCTCCCCCCCATCCTTTCATGGCTTCAAGGCCAAATAAACTAAGAACAGCAAGATAATAAAAAATGTTCTAGTTCAAAGTACAGATAGCAGTTCCTGGAGATATGAAACACAAGCCTGAGTACTTCATTTTCAATTTGCCTAGTTATCCAAGACCAATACTTTTTGATGCTTTACTAGTAATAGATAAGCATCAAAATGAAACCCATTAATTAAAATTGTTTTTGTGCCAAACCTCAAACTATGCTAACAGAAGGCACCCTAACCACTGGCATTTAGCCAGGCTGTGTTCTGAGTTATGTCTCAAGGAGCCTGAACCCTAGTCCTGCTCCAATTGGAGGAGTCTGCATTTATTTGCTTTGTGTTAAGGTGCCCTGACAGATTCATTTGAAAAAGTAAGATGTCTTTAAATTTGAGTCTTCTTTTAGAGTTTGGAAACACATGAACCACTCCAACTAATGAATATTCCTAAGCAGCTTCTTTGCAAAGTTTAACTCAGCTTGGCCACCACTGCATCTGACTTCATTTGCACACAGATGTGTCTTAGATGTCATTTTTTATTCAGGGTGATTGACAATCTATTACATCTACAGCAGCACAGGCTTAAAAATTTACAACTTGAGTTTTATGACAGTTTGGTTCATAAAAAAGAATTAATATTGGGGCTAAATTAATTTCGATGATCTGTCTAATAACCAAATAGATAGAGTCTACTGAGTGAATATAGCAATTACATATATAATATACATGGCTCCTTGGAAGCAAGGATTCTGAGGCTCCGTCTAACATACTTTGGACATGTTGTGAGGAGAGACTGGTCCTTGGAGAAGGACATCATGCTTGGGAGGGTGGAGGGACAGCACAGGAGGGGAAGGCCCTCAATGAGGTGGATTGATTCAGTGAATGGGATAATTGGAATGGGAGTTTCAGAGACAGTGCGATTGGCACAGGGTAGAGCAGAGTTTAGGGCTGTTGTACACAGGGTCGCTATGAGTCGCAAGCAACTTGATGGCACATAACAATACACACACACACACACATATACACACACAGTGTCAGGCATTGTTCTCAACAATTTATAGGTATTAATTCAGAAGGCTCATTTCCACTCCTCATTTCTATCACTATCAATGTTTTGTAGTGATTATTCTCATAGTTAGGTGACACAAGAGACAAAGTTAAATGCTTTGCCACGCATAGCTCTAATTCCATCACTTTGGTGCCTCTCAATACTTAGCAATACTTTTGGTAATTTTTTGTGTGTGTGTGTGGGTTGTTTTGTGTGTTTTTTTCCCTTGGAGAGAAATCAGTAGAATTTAGAAAAGTACTTTCATCTTGTAAGGCACAGCTAAAAATGTATTCAAGATGGAATGAAGATTTGGAAAAAGCATGGAAGGAGGCAGCCTTTCTCCTTGTTACTCTAGTGCCTGAGGACAGAGCTAAGCTTCCTGCTGGGGTGGAAATGGTGATTGTAGTTTTTGAGGGGTTTCATACTTGTTTATACCACTAATCTAGTTAAGCAACAGTAGAGTCTGTCATGCTTGGAAATATTTCCCATAAAAATAAGTGTGTGTAGGGTTGCACTCATCTCATTGCACCATGTGGGGACCTTACTTTTGCTCCACTATAAGAGGCCAAGGTCTGTGTGACACAGCTGAGCCCTGGAGAGTCTTCCCACCAACCCTTCCTCAGTGTCTGCCAAAGGCTGTAGCCCAGCCCAGGTGCACTCATATCCAGGCCAGTGAGAGACCACTGCCTGCTAGGTCAAGGGGCTGCAGTTCCAGGGTGGCTCTGACTACTCTCCTGCCTAGGCTACAGGCCTGCCACCTGTGGACCACCACCTCACTGCTTTCCTGTGCCAGGAGCACCAATGTTATAGGTACTTTGGCCTTGAACATGCTTGTCTAGCTACATCATGTGGGACTTCTTAAAGTCAAGCAGAAGAGGCCAGGTGCAGCTGCAGTTTCTAGAGGGCAGTCATCCCCTTTCAGGGAGCACAAAAATACAGGTTCTTCACTAAACACTGCCATATCCTGTGCCATTATACAGTTACAACAATCTAATATTTACTAAGACAAGACTCACATAATGTTAAGAGAGCAGCAATCTGCCTCAGTCATCATAGAATAAAATTAAATAACACTTCTAAAAAAGGAGACCCAATGAATACTCCAGATAAATAGAACCAGAAGAAATATGTTGATGTGGAATTATTTGAACAGCTACAGAAGATGCAAATGATGGAAGAAATAATGGAAGCCATTAAGAGAGTAAATACCCTAAAGACAGCAATACAGAAGACACTTTTTGATAAGGAGCAACTTGAACAGCTGTGGAAGAAAATACAGAAGATGGAAGAAAGAATTGAGAGTATAGATAAAAGGGTACAAAAAGTTTAAAAAGCATCACAAGCCAGAGAGGATACAGCCAAACATACTGAAATAGAAAAGTATGAAAATCCAATCCAGAAGGTTAAGACCGAAATGGCAGAAGTGTCCAACA